AAAAAAAAAAACTGAAAATACAGCAAGACTTAAACATTCAGGATATTCCAGAAGTCATCTCCAAAGTTTGCTTTTCTCAATCCATGATAATAATAGTATATAAAAGTTGTGAAAGTTGTGCAGTTTACTATACATTTCATAATTCAAAGATGAATTCCAAGGGTTTCAATTTGAATCTTAAGATTGAATCCTTTAATGGAAAAAAAAAGAAAAAAAATCCTAGGGCAATTGCTCAAATCTTACAATTTGATTATCAATATGACTGGGACATAGGCCTAGAATTTCTTTACTTCTGGCTAAGCAAGGGGTAAATAGGGGTCAGCTGTATTGGACTAAGCTATAATGGGTCAGCTGTATTGAACTAAGCTCTAATGTTTTTTGATGTTTGTATTGGCCAGGTGAGGGTGCACCTTGCACCACTCCAAGGGAAGTTTGTATTGGTTGATTTTATGTTGATCATTAATAAATTTTATTTACTTATCCAAAAAAAAAATCTTTACTTCTTTTCATCAAGGACCTAGTTCTGTACTTTCCATTCCTCCTCCTAATCTTTTTTCCTCAACTCTCAAGGGCCACCCACTTCTACTCCTTTATCTCAAAATTGGAGGTGAAAGGTGATATACTTATGGAACAGAATGACACTGCTAGAGCTTTTGTGGAACACTTTAAATCTACTTTTAGGAAGCCTTTAAATATAAGAATCTGGCTTGATGGGTTGGACTGGCCTACTCTTTTTGAGGAGCATAAAAATTGGTTGGAGAGGGGATTTGAGTTGGAAGAAATAAAGGAAACAGTGTTCTCCACGGATAGATCCAAAGCTCTAGGCCCAAATGGTTTTACAATAGCCTTTTACCAAGATTGTTGGGAGATCTTGAAAGATGATCTTCAAAGGGTGTTCCTAGAATTTTTTGAGATAGAGGTGCTTAATCTGGGTCTTAATTCCATCTTCATTGCTCTGATTCCCAAGAAAGGTGATGTGATGCTGCCAAATGATTTTAGACCAATCAACTTGATCAATAGCCTTTATAAAGTCATTGCTAAAGTGTACCTAGAAATTTGAGGACTATTTTCCCTTCCATTATCTCACAGACTCAAGGGCCTGTTGTGCAGGATAGACAAACCATTGATCAAATCCTAATTGCAATTGAGAATGTGGAGGAGATGAAGAGTAGTGGAAGGAAAAGTTTTATTTGAAAGTTGGACCTAGAGAAGGCTTAAGATTTGGTTGACTAGAATTTCCGACTAGAGGAAATGAAAAATTGTGGCGTTGGTGATAGATAGTGTAAATGAATTATAAAATGTGTCACGACTTGCCAATACTCAATTTTGATGAATGGATCTATTATGGACCACTTTCCAGCTTCGAGAAGTCTAAGACAAGGAGAGATGAGGTTTCAAGAATCTGATTAGAGATTAATCTCTATAGCAGATTTCAAGAATCTGATTAGAGGATGGAAGATAGGAAGAGATGAGGTTTCAATCACTCACCTACAGTTTGTTGATGATACGATTCTGTTTTGTGAAGGGGTGTCTGGGTGATATTACAACAGTGAGAAACTTAAAGTGGACTGTGAAAACCTTTGAGTAGATGTCCAATCTGAGGATCAACCTACATAAAAGCTTTTTATT